CACCCACCCACTCCGCGTCCATCTCACCGGACACACCCACCCACTCCGCGTCCATCTCACCGGAGACACACCCACCCACTCCGCGTCCATCTCACCGGACACACCCACCCACTCCGCGTCCATCTCACCGGAGACACACCCACCCACTCCGCGTCCATCTCACCGGAGACACACCCACCCACTCCGCGTTCATCTCACTGGGGCTCTGCACCGGTGGACCCAGTACAGGATTTCAGGCCAAATGGCCTTCGGTGCAGTTTCATTAGAGGATATTCATTTTCACAACTGCATGTCGGATCCTTGTCTTTATGTATTTCGGTTTCTAAGAAACACGGCCTCTTTTCTGACCCCCATTTACAAAATCCTAAGCTTGCTTTTCAAATGGATCAGTGGTATCCAACGGTCTGTTTCAGTTGCTTTTCAAGACTCTGTGGTGGCACAAACAATGTTTAATGTGCGCCAAGCGAATCTAAAAATTAAAATGAGAGTTTTCTGGTTTTTCCCTATAACAAACAGCAAGACTACCGTGTGAAACGGTAATTTTTTCAGTCAGACAGTCTTTCCAAGTAGCTATTTAGGCAAAACAAAAGTTTACTTCAGTACACGCCAATACTGGGTTTCATTCAAGAATTCCCCCCTAGGATCAATAAAGTTCCTTACCTTATTACATTTTAATCTACTGGAAACACCAGCACAACCAGCTGGTTGCTGCCTGATATGACTGCTTCTGTTATTTTTGTTCTCTTTTTTAGTTAATGTTTCACTTTTTAGTTAATGTTGGTCTGTAGGTATCGCTGCATAACCAGTGGTCAAAACCAGAAACAACCAATGAAACTGTTGTTATAACTTCATAAAGTATAAGGAAAAAAACACTCAGCAAGTTATATTTGTCGGGTTTTTTTTTTTTGTTTATGATTATTTCAATTGCGAAATACTGGGCTGTCCATCATTATCACTATCAGACACTTAAATAAGTCACACATTTCAAATTAGTTAGTTATACACATAGTAGTGTTGAAAACTGAGAAAGAAAAACGTCAAAATGTTTTTAAGATTATGACGCAACAAAAAGTTTGTCCACTGTGCAGATACATTTACAATGCTTGACTGACTTAGGTCACCCCCCAAACGTCAAGCAAATATGAAGTACGGCAAATCTGTAAAATATAATTTGTAATGTTTACTAAACTAGGAGGAGCTGATGGTTTTTCAGCACAGCGCTATAGTGACTGCTCAGTCAGCAATATTACCTATCAGGCATGGGTTTACAGTCCAGCCAGGCTGGTGGAATGTAAGGGGGGGTAATCTAGCAATGGCGCTCAGTGTCAGGAAGCTCACAGCTGGGGGGGGAGGGGGGATCAGGCTCACTTCTCCGTGGAGAAGGCTCTCTTCATGAGCGGGGGCGCCGTCTTTCCGGTGTCGTACAGGGAGTCCGGGGGAGGGCTGCTGAGGCAGCACCAGTCCGGCGTGCGGCCCGTCTGGTTGTACTGGTCCCGGGAGATGGAGCGGCTGCCCAGGATATCCTGCAGAGCCCCGAATATCGCACCTGAGGAGGAGGAGGATGAGGAATGATGCAGGAGAGTCAGCTGTCCATGTAAAACTTGACCCTGCAGTATCATATTCTACCCAGTCATGCACTAAATTGCTGATGGGTGAAACACAATGAATGAGAGCATTGTTCTGTTACTGCAGACCAAGCATAGAGACACACCTAGACACGGTGAGCGTATCTGATAACCACCTAGCATTTCACTGCTGCTTCCAGGCAAACCATCGGCAAATGTCTAAATGGACATGCTATATACCTAAAGGTCCATATTCTCATTCAAGTATAGATTCAACATTCAAGAGATTGCAGAAGTGGAAAGTTCAGGTCCCAAAATTAAAAATTCAGACCAAGATTTTGTTCCAACCAACTAGCTGAGTACTCTGTGACTGTGACTCTTTATACTCAATTGGTTAGTTGAAACAAAATCTTGGTTTGGATTTTTACTTTCTGGACTTGAACTACCCACCTCTGAGAGATTGTCTTGGCTTTATGTGACAAGTGCACTGCAATGCTTAGCTGTTCAGCCACACCCAGTACAAAGATAAGTATACAAATAAAGTACAAGTAGCTAATATTCTATTAGATATACAATAGCACAGCCTATTTTGTTATTAAAACTATACATGGTTTGATTTGTAAATAATATTATATAAAGAAGCTGCAGAGAAGTGAAAATACTGGAGGTTTTTTTGAGAAGTAAAAAACAGACTGGAAATGACCCCAAAGTGGAACCATTCCAAGCAGATGAAGTTCAATTAAGTCTTCAAGACAGGGAGGCAAACTTGGAGGGGGAAGGGGGTCTTGTAAGCAAGGGCAAACGGTAGAAGACCTGGAGGCTGGCATATGGGGCAGGGCAGGGGGTACGCACCTCCGAGCCAGGCTGTGCAGTTGGGCTTGGCCGGGGGGCTGTGCAGACGGAAGGTCCTGCTGGACAGCACCTGCTGGTACCGCGGCCTGTCTGCCAGGTGGCGGATCTCGGCCAGGAGCCGGTGCAGGAAGCCGGGCAGCATGGCTGTGCCCCCGATGACCACCAAGTTCTCCGCCAGGGCCTTGCGGGTGTCCATGGGGCACTGCGGGGAGGGCCGTCTACATTACTGGGAGGCCGAGAACCGGAAAATAAACTTGCTCACCGTTCCATTAACGACTTAAGGAACTTCTGGAGTCCTGCCACGAATGACTTGAAGGCACCCCGCTGGATGTCACTCCCAAAAGGATGCGATTGTTTAAGATCCGTAATCAAGACTGCTTGGCATCGCTTCCAGCTCTCCAGGTAGAGCAAGAAAGACTACCCCAGACCTGACCTGGGGCGCTGCACACGGCCTGGGGCCGCCTATCTAAGGTAACTTTGAGCTGGGCTCTCCATTACCTGCTTTTCCTCTGCAATCTCTCAGACAAGTACAGAACACTCCCAGGAACACCTTTAGCGAAGATCTCGTTATGCATCAAAGTCAGTCACATTTTCAGCTTTGTAGAATGAACCAAACGCTTAACAGAACATACTGATCTCCTACCTTGACCAGAGCGTCGAGCATTAGGGTGGCTACGGATTTCTCCTCATTGTCCTGTTCGAACAGCATCTCGATGACAGAGTCCCTTCAAGAGTAAGCAAGACTCCAATAAGGAACATACACGATAAATGTAGCCTAAACACAATGCTCATATGAACACTGACCACAGTCCGCAAGAGTAGGATTAACCCACAGAGTGCCACAGACCCTTGGAGGGACACTGTCCTGCTGCATATTACTCATATTCAGTCACACACTGTGGAAAATTTAAAGTTTCTGCTTCAGCTGAACTGCATGTTTATTGGACTGCGGGAGGAAGCTGAATCACAGGAAGCTGTCCCCATAAACACCGGGAGATGATCACAAACACACAGATTGGGCCCATACTGTGTTGTACAGTAGTTAAATACAATAATAAGTAGAAATCTGTTTTCCAATTCCAGGTGCATAAATGCAACTGTAATATTTGCATGTAAACTTGCAAAAGCTTTTCATTTTTAGAATACAGTGAATTTACATAAAAACATGAGTGTGAGGTCTTAAAGCGCTCCCATTGGTCGGCACAAATAAAGGGAAGTCACCTGATCGATCCTTTGATATGTATAATCTTCTCGCCATCTAAAGGATAATCCACTTCAGGAGGTGGGGCTGGCCGCTATGGGAGCAGGAAGACACCAGCCACTTAAAAGCATCGTCAAAACCTATGCCAGTCAAACAAACTCCTTAAACAAGAAGTCATTTGAGGGCCCAGCTTTGTTCCCCGCTTCCCCCTACCTCTGCTGTGCCCTCCAGGTTGAATTTGGCCTCCTGGATCTTCAGGCCCCTCTGTAGATCGCTCACGAAACAGGTCCTGACTGAAAGACAGAACAGGTATGACATACTGTATGAGGTCCACAGTAAATCTCAAATCTGAATCCCCCTCTAATTCTTATGTGTATTGTGTCATCATTATTATACTAGACCAAATCTTCAGCAACACTTAGACAAGCTTGAAATGGCACATAACGTCAATGCAATGTTTTAAATGCTATATGAACACTCAGACAATCCGTGTTGCCTGTTTAGGCACTCTCTCTACACTAGGCTCCAAAGGCACACGCCTTCCTGCTCTCGTTTCCCCACCTTTGATGTCTTCCACAACCTCTTCTGGAATGGAGCCTGAGAACAGCAGACAAAAGGAATCGATGAGAGACGAGGAAGTAGATCCCATTTCACAGGCGTCGCTCTCCATTTTCGGATTCATACACCTTCACTGATCTACTCATTAACAAGAATGTACAACTATTTAATTTGGCTAAATGAATGTGGCTGGAGACAGTTGAGGGGCACCTGCAAACAGCACTTGATGGCTAATTGTGCCTGGTTGCGAGAGGAAATGGAAGCCTATTTAATTAGTACAGCCACTAGGGGTCCTTTTAGGTACAGCTAGGGTGGCCACCATCAGCGCCCGTCTCATCTGTGCGGGGTAAGAGAGCCCGTGGGACAATGGTTGTGAACTGCCAGAGAGCTACCGTCACATGGGAGGCAGCAGAGAAGCAGAATATAAAACACAGAAGGATCCATAAAAATAGATCATGCTGAAATGGAGTCCGCTCAGAAGATGCAGGAGGACTGCATGCCTGGAGTTCTGAAACCCAAACAGATACTATGATACACAATGAGCTGCTAGGAACCAAACCAAATCATTACTAATATATGTATTTGGGTTGGCAGTATTAAATAGACTGAGACCCAGAAAATAGCAGAGCATGCCAAGCACCAACAAAAAGGATACTGACAGAACAATTATGAAACATATTTTGGAAATTCACAGATACAATTATCACTTATGTTGTGGAGGCAAAATGTAATCTTCGGAAAGGAATGTCCAGAATTTTTTGGCAGTATATTTAAACCATGAAATGCCTCATTGAAGAAAACCCTTCAGCTTTCTTTTGGACCATTTCTAAGTGTTCATCTGTATCCTATTACGCCACTATTAATATGTCTATATACAGCCAAATAGTTACTTTGTAGCAGTGCAGCCTCTAGGGCCTCATACAGGTGATTAGTTTAGTCAAATCTAATTACACGCTGTACTAATTCAAAATGTTCCAGTACTAAACGTACAGGACGGTTTGTTAATTTTGCATTTACTGACAGAGGTGTACATTCCACCACTGAGAAACATCCAGCTTGCTGTACAGAAACATTTCATCCCTGCACAACAGTACAACAAATGCTTAAATTCAGGCGAGAGGTTATAATAGTTGACAGGCTATAAAGCCAGCACTGATTAAGAATTATCACACACCGGTGGTACTGGACAAGATTAACCCACGCCCCACTGAATAATTCAATGTTTCCCATTGGGTTATACCTTGTGAGTGATGCAGCAGGTTCCCACCCACTGAGGGGTTTAAAGCTTTATTCCACCCACTGCTATTAAAAAAAGAATTTTCCCATAGTTGCTTGTTTACATATCAGACTTCTGCTGCACACCCACCATAAAGCTTAGTGGACAGAAGGGAGCTGCGCACTTACCAATGACCGCTGGCAGGCTTTGTCCTGTGCTTGAGGCCGTGTCCACAGTGCACTGCTCGACAAGCAGGGTCTCGAGCTCCCTGCGGATCACACACACCCACAGTCAGCTCAGACACTGAACGCTGGCAGTCAGCTGGCCCCCACAGAGGTCACCTTGAGCAGGAAGGGCAGAGATACACAAGCAGGCTTACTTGTGAATGGCCTTCCCTCCCATCGGCAATGCCTCCCAGGCAGATAGAATGGGGATACCTTCATATATCTGTTTAGCGTTCAGGGTAGATTATACTTTGCCATTTATAAAGTTAACACTGCAGAGAGCAATTCACACTGGGAGCTGTAATTCCACCTGGCACTGAAGTAAAGCTCATAGACCTATGAGCAAGTCTAATCGGCTGCTTCAGTCAAGATTATACAATGCAGCACATTCTCACACAGCAGCCGGTGCAATGTGTAGAAATTAATTTGAAGCCAATCAAAATACAATCATTCTAAATTTGGATATGGGGAACTCAAAATTAAACTCGCCCTCATCTTCTTAGGAGGAGATGTCTGTCTGTTAGCCTGTATGTTAACCCTGTAAAACAATGACTGGACTCTTTGTGCCCATCAGATCTATGGGGCAGCTGAAGCCAGCACAGCAGTACAAGGATACAGGCAGCACCAGGGTCTCTGCGTAGCCACAGTCCATCACCAGGGCAGAGTTGATGCCCAGTGTCAGGACTGACATCAGGTGACTGGGGGCAAAGAGCACTGATGGGACCTGGGGACAAAGGAACATTAGGCAACTGCCGCACAAAGAAATTAACTTCCATCGCAACATATAAAAACTGCCTATTTGTGCAAATAGGTATTTATATAGGAATGACTAGGAAGAGAACAAATGCAAGCGTTCAAAAAATATAATTCCCTGTCCAACATGCCTGATCCTCATTAATACAGGACATATAATATTACCGGGTGACACATGGTTTCCAGTACCTCAAAGTGCTTGAATAAAACTTTGGTGAGGGTGTCCCTGAAGTGGGAGGGGCAGAGCACTGACTCAATAACAACAACTCGCCGGTCCCGCGGGTTCACCAGCAGATGTCTAAACATCGAGAAACAGTGAAGACAAAATTTGTCAGTGACTAACTCCAGTATCACGGTGGCAGTGGACTGCAGTCAGTTCTGGAACGAACAGGCTGTTGCTGATGGTTAGACTGAGGACAGCATGCAGGTCAATCATACATCACTAAATCCTGATGTCAAATCCAGGCCAAGCAAATCGCTGAACTGCTCGGCTAATTAGTATTGCTAGCAATTAAGTGGATATTAAAGGACACAATTAAAAGACATTATTTACCTGAAGTACAGCATATGAATGAACTCCTTGAGGTTGGAATAGAGCTCATCGGTATTTATGTGGTACTGGACAACTTTAATAGGCTGTATAGCAAGGAAACACATTCACATGATTTTCAGAACAATGTATGGATTAGAGAAGAAAAAAAACAAATGGTACAGCAAGCAGACTGACCTGCTGGAGACCTGGCTTCTGGATCTCACTTGGAATTATACATCTGGGCCCTGTCTCACCTGCAAAGCCACATCTGTGCGGATTAAATAAAAGCGATATCAGATCAGAGGTGTAAAGTAGCAAAGTAAAAATGCTCTGTTACTGTACTTCTGCATTTGTACTTTACTTGAGTATTTTAGCAACGTTTACTTCCACTTCACTAAAATTCTGAGCCAAATAATGACTTTTTAGTGATATATTCTGCAGGACCATCATAACTCACCCAATTATAATTTTTTTTAAAAAGCCTACCGTTGCATGCAGTGCATTTGACATACGGCTGCAGGATTCTGCGTAACATATGAATTGTGATTCCCCACCCCCCCACTATTCTTGAGCAATTTTCTTTCTTTATATTTTATTTTGCACTACATATTATCTTTATGATTAGTGTGGTAGCTCTGAGACTAGAGATCTATGCCAGCAATCAGAAGGTTGCTGGTTTGAATGCCAGGAGTGATCCTACTGCATTGGGCCCTTGAGCAAGGCCCTTAACCTGCAATTGCTTCATCCTGGGTATGATGTTAATCTACATCCAGCCCTACAAGGAGGACCTTCAACTTACAGGGAAAATTTAGGGGTTGGTGGAAGGATTGGCACTCCAGCCACCAGTGGGGAAAATGATCTGTAATGTCAGATTCGATTTTTCGGGGTAAAATCCTTTTAAAGATACTGCTGCTTCTGGGATGTGCACTCTAGTGTTCACAAGCTGCAAGTAGACATGCGAAATAGAAGCTTTGCCACACGGATTTCCAAAATGTAGGATGGCATTACAAACAAACAAACAAACAAACATGTTTTATTTGCCATTGGTACAACTACATTGGAATGCTTCTCTTTGCCTACCCCATCTTGCTCTCAATAGCTTGGGGGTCACAGCGCAGGGTTAGCCAATGTGCAGGGCCCCTGGAGTGGGGGGGGTTAAGGGCCTTGCTCAAGGGCCCACATACATGTGACTGTTCTGCTGAAACCGGGGCTTGAACCAGCGATCTTCTGATCATGGGCACAGAGACTTCCCACTGTGGCATTCACCGCCCCGGCATAAAATTCATAAAAGAAGTGCTGCCTAATGATTATTACGCTATGACACTTTTGGGAAACACACCCCTGTTTTATGGTGCAGAATGCTCCCTCCAGGCAACCTTTGTGCAGTGATGCTTTTGGGAAATGCCTCTCTTTTGTAACACAAAAAAACTGTTATTCTTTCTACTATGTTAGCAATTAGGAGTGTATATGTCTTTTGGTTCGGTATGAAAAAATATACTGAACAAATGCAGCAAATGCGGAATATTTTTGTGTTTCCCCCGAGCAACATTCGGAAAGGGGCGGATGAGGCCGCGCCGCTACTCATGCGCTCGTACATCCTAATGTGAAGCTGGAAGTTGTTAATATAAATACAAGTGCAGTACAGATACTTTGTGTAGGCAGTGGTGGCTTAATGGTTAGGGAAGCGCACTTGTAATTGAAAGATTGCAGGTTCGAATCCCTGGCCAGCAAGGCACCGCTGAGGTACCCTGAGCAAGGTACTGCTCCCTGGGTGCTGAATTAGCTGCCAACTGCTATGTCATGATAACACATATGGGTTTAATGCAGAGGACACATTTCATAGTTGTGTGTTGTGGTGCATCAAAAATAACCATCCATCACTAAATTCAAAGTTTTTAATGCTGCACCCTAATGGATATTTATTTTGTTATGCTTTGTATTTTTTGGAGACAATATTTGTGCTGCACAGTTCTAATATGAAGCTGAGAGCTAATAATGTGAATACAGTACAGATCAGGTGTACCGTTGTGTGGCGTTACAGCCCCAGTAGCAATGGTCAAGACTATGAGGTAGCTAACTAGCTAATGAAATAAAAAGTATTGGCATATCAGTATCAGCTAATATTAATTAAAAATCAAGATATCGCCATAGGTCAGATGTGCTGAATTAAAACTTCAATATTCAAAGTCAGCAGCACCAGATCGAAAGATGCAGTTACTACTACTAAAAAAAACTGAATAATGATACTTCATTAATCCCCAGCAACCTTTCAATCACAGGCACACAACTTTAGTCTGCTGAGCCAAACACCACCAAGATGACAACATTCTAAGTTCAGCCATTTTCTGAAGTGGAGAATAAGAACCAGCCCATGACATGTTTGTAATTCATTATCAAATCTGGCCCACAGACAGATCTTTTGTCTCCCACAGATTAAAAAAACGATGTAACAGCATTTTGCTCATCTATGCCGACAACTTAGTACTGGTTTGTTTATACGTTTTTCTTTTCTGCAGAGTTAAAGAGTTGACTTCGATAATTTCCACTGGCTTCTTCTCCGGGTTTAAAAATTACAATAAAAATGTTGCAAGATTCTACTTTCTTTGTAGAGAATAGGTTTATAATTTGAGTAATCATAATAATCGTATCACCGATTAATTTAATTGAATAGTGATAGGAATTAAACATTTCTGAAGCATCAAGTGGTTCCCTCAATAACTACAAACGTACTAGTTCTTGCCAAGGATTTACAAGCCTATCAATAACTATTACCAACAAGTCAAACTGCAATGACATCATTCTAGGATAGTTAGAGTCTAATTTTAATTATTAGTTTAAACGTAGGGTACTACAATTATGTCGGTTACATTTGTTACTTCTAACGTATTAGCGACGTTGCAGACGGCAGACAGCTATAGACATCAGTATGGCTATCAGCTTGGGGTCACGGTACTGTACAATTTCAGTATAGCAGGAAATTGTTTATTATTAAAACTGCAAACACAACAAAGGAACGGATTTGCCAGATTAAATGGTGTTTTCAGTGTAGAAAACACGATCTGCGGTTTCATTTGTGGACAGACTGTGAATCCACATTAAAAGACATTTTATTAAAAGCTTTCTTTAACTACCTTCGATTATACCGTTTTTTTTTTATTTAGAATAGAATAGATCTTTATGGTAATGTTTTTAACAAAAACAACTAAATACCGTTTAGCAGCTCTAGGATATTCAGCATGGACAATGACATAAGAAATATAGATTTACATACGAACAAACAAAAACAACATAACAGTGAAATAGTATGTACCGAAGTACTGGTGCAAAATGATAACAACATAAAGGGAAAATGAAAAATATGAGTGACAGGGAGTAATGAACTTCAATATCTATATAAATACATTGCGACCTCGCGTGGAAGTCAACAGTTGGATATCATAAAATACATATACTTAAATACTCCAGTTTAGGCCAAAAGCTTCATTTTCTTTTACCAACCATCCATTCTAGTTTATTTAGTATTTAATTAAAACCCGTTGCGACAAAACATTTAGAATGCCAATCTTCTTTAGAAATGAACGAAATAAAAACGACTCATGTACAATTAACTATGACTAAGGAAAACATAAAGCCCCGGAAAAAAACGGATATGCAGAATAGAGACGTTAAATGGTGTGCGCGATATTTACTTACTTTGTGTATGCTGACCCCAGATCAATGACGACAGCGGTTTTCTCCCCGCCTGTTCCCAATCCCTCAAACAATGGCATGTTAGATTAAATCTTTAAATTCTTACTCAAACCTTAATAAATAAATCAATGAAAGATATGAGCACTCCCTCACACCGCTTCCTAGCTCTCTAACCGAGCGAGCAGGGAGGGGTCCTTCTTGATCTGACAGCTCTCTCATAGTCCCATAGTCGTCCATGGCGTCAAAAATCTGCCTGAGTAAAATTAAAATACAATTTAAATCGCTCGCGTTGTATTCTCACCAATATTTTAAATGGAATATATCCAACTATTGGAGATTTTAATGTTTTGAGTATATGGTTTTTTATTGCTAATGTCAGGCTCAAATTTCCATAGAAGTATCAGGCATCTTTTTAGGATATTAAAGGGAACGCTAGGCAACGGTAACCTCTGTACAAGCGATGGAAGACAGTTTGAGGGAGTTTCGTATGTAGTATTACCATGTGGTAAAATAAAGGCTTATCTGTTAAATCATTATATCGTTTCAGAGGCATAGTCCTAATGTCCTGCAGGAACACGGTTTTCAAACTTTCTTAAACCAGGGACTCCCAAATCAAAAGAAACTACAGCTACGGACACTCTACCACCAGTCATCACTTAAGATCTGGACCGCGGAGGAGGCTTTCATGTTTCTTCATTTTTAGCTCAGAATGCGTTGCATAAACCGAACATTAATGCAGATATTCTGTAAATTTACTATAAGTATTAATTGCATTATAACCCCATGTTGAAAATCCATTGCTATTTGTCCGTGGTTGACTTATTTTGGCATTATTCATGTATATTAAAAACTTTTGTTTTTAAATTAAGAAACTACTATTAAACAATTTTGTCTCATAATAATCAGAAGAAGTAATGTATCAAATTTTGATTGATTTCCTTTAGTGATAAAAATAAGAGCAAATCACAACAATTTTTTGAGACCAGAACAGACCGTGCTGGCATGGTAATTCTATTGTAACCCACGTTTTTAGGTAGTGTGTCTGAGACAAAATTATCACAATTAAACACAAGGCACCCTAGTTTCTTTCTGTTATGCAATAAACACGCTAGAAACATATATATGTCAGTTCTCCAACCAAGTAATATATATATATATATATATATATATATATATATATATATATATATATATATATATATATATATATATATATATATACATACACACGCACACACACACACACAGGTACATACACACAGAGACAAGCACATATATAAGCGAATCGGTACCATTGCGCCGGTCCCCAGCCGTCACACTGACGCACGCACACATGCACACCATCGCAGGACAGCAGCGGACCAGGCGCCGTCCAGCCTGCGGGTCCGCGACGCCTGATGAGAGTCTGTCTGCGCATAAACCCGTCTGAAAGGCATCGCGTGCCCGAAACGTCGAAAAGCAACGCCGCTGTCGATGCTACGAAGTTAGATGAAATATACGAAGATTCAGGCTATGACAGGTAAGGACGACGGTGTTTGCGTAAGATGCGGCACATATGTGTCGTTGAAATTTCTGGTTTGCTTTGCTGGCAAACCCAGGACAGTTAGTTATGAGGCGTCATATTTTCCACCGTTGAATGTAATTTATTAAATAGCTGATATAAGCAGTGCACAATGCTAATGCCGCTCAAGTTAGCGCTGGGCTTAACACGACACACTGCCATGTAGATCTGTGGAACTACATGGTTTTTATTTTTGTGTAATTTTGTCGTAGAATTGACTTGCTAACCGGTCCAGAATAACTGGTTGTAAGATGGATGGATGGATGGATGGATGGCTTGATGGAATTGTATTCATTTTACCAACGCAAATTCAGCCTTGCACTCGAAGATCATTGTGAACATGGGTTGGAATTTAACAGCAGAAATAACAGCAACAACAACAACAACAACATAATAATAATAATAATAATAATAATAATAATAATAATAAAATAATCCCACCATAGAATAATGAGGAAACAATCCTGGGCACTGGGGTGATAATTATTCCCAAAAGTTGTGCTTTGAAAAGATTATCTAAGCATCGGTATTCTTTATTCCAGAAAGATCTCATGTAATGTACAGTATTTCAGCTAATAATCATTAATGTAGGTCTTGCTGTTGCTACCATTATTGTTACTGAAGATGACATAAGTGTGACAGATCAAAACTTCAGGGTTATGCTAAGCTCTTAGCTGTCCTCTGAGCAGGGTACCTGCGTGTGGTGGCCCATGAGCAGCAGGGTACCTGCGTGTGGTGGCCCATGGGCAGCAGGGTACCTGCGTGTGGTGGCCCATGGGCAGCAGGGTACCTGCGTGTGGTGGCCCATG